GACAGCATTTTTGTGTTTACTTCACTATGGAACTTACACACCAGCAAAAAAGATTGTCTCTGCTACATAAGTGCAAGTTAAAGGAATCTTTCACGGACCATGGACCAGTGGGCGGGACCGGAATTGTAATGCTTTTGCGACGAAATGCATGGTAGGTACGGATCCACGTTCATGGGAAGGTTTGAAGTGAATCCTGTTCACGTTCGTGCGTTCGACACGTGGATCCGTACCTACCATGCATTTCGTCACAAAAACTTCCGGTCCCGCCCACTGGTCCATGGTCCGTGGAAGATTTCTTTAAGCCCGAATCGGAATGCCTATGTGGAATCAGTGTAGCCTGGGATGAAGGCACGATTACAGGAAGGCCTGTTCGAGAGCGTTTGTTGATTACGCATTATTGTTGTTTTTGTTTGGTCTTGTTAATAAACCTATGAGTGGGATGAAAACAGCAGATTAATTATTGCTCAACCTAATAAATGTCAACCAGCAACTCGGACTCACAAGGATGTGACTGTGTAGCTCTGACCTGGCAACCCTCAACAGCAACAGTCGGTCGAAGACCTGTCCCTCTTTCAACGCGGGCTAGGAAACACATTGAACCAAGTTCAACGTGACAAGTGTCCAGACTCAAATTTTTCAAATCTCACATTTTTACCCATTTCCAAATTTTTACTCCAAAATGTACGAAAATTCTTCATGCCCGGTGGAACTTATTCATCCACCTTTCAGCTTTCTTCACACTAAGGTTAGGCAGAAATTTTCATCCTTCAGCTGATTTTTCAAACTATCCGACACCAAAATCTTTCAACGTAACAGAAGTTCGAAGACATAGCGACGGACCGAGGATCATGAGCTTTCGTAACTTTCGTAAATAGGGACTCTTTGTGCAAAATTGGGATTACCGCAATCCGCACGAATAATGCATCAAAATACCTTTTATTAGTGTTGACCCAGAAATTTGAATTGGAAAAATTCTTGGGCATGATAATGGAATGAACACGAAATTACGTACCAGCTGATGGTGAACAATGGCATTGCCATGCGAGTCACGTAGTAAATATTGTGACGACGGAAAACTAAATTGTACCAGTACACGGAGCGGACCATCTTCGGTGGATATCTGCAAAAAAACAACTCAAACTTTTCGCGGCAGATATTGACATAAAAAATTTGCTAAATCATAGGAATCCGCTGTTGAAGGAAAGCAGCCTGAATTTCAAAATTCTGAAAAACTACAAGGAAGAAATCCCAGAGGAAGTAAATTCATTCAACCCGGGAGTGCCCGTCTATAGTTCACAGCACACCAGACAGCGCCCCGAGCCGCAAACTCCATGAAAAGAGGTGATCATCCACACTGGAACAGTAGTTTCCTAATCAGTCCTTATTTCGAATACTGCCCAGGTCCACCAATCTTCTGCACTTCTTGCTCGGTAACTTCATGCTAGATTAGTCGGGGAGCATGTAAACACCCAGGAAGCATTAGCTGGATCTATCATGTATGCTACGGTCTAGCCATACTGATCTTGAAGGTACGCCCAAGATAAAGAAGCTGGTGTGTAAGAACGCTCAAAGGCAAGCCCCAGCAAAAAATGGTGATAGGAGGGTTTCGTAGAAATGACTGAGGTGCGAATGACCTCAAAGTGAAAAGGAATGCAAGAGCAATCTTGGGAACGCTGAAATTAAGGTACTTAACCTGACCAATAAGGGTCGGCGCTCAATTTTTGCTATGAAGCTGGAGTGGTAAAGGATGGTATCACCCTCACAATTTCCTTTGGTAGGTAGACTACATGTGGAGGAAATAGGAAAGAAAATACACAGGAAATATGAGCTTTTGCTCTACGCTGTGGAGAAGTTCAAAAGACAGGCAGGGAGATGAGAGATAATGTGAGCGCGGAGAGCGGTAGAGAAGTCCGAGAAGAGAGAGCATAGCAGATCAACGTAGCGACGCAGACAAGATATCGAACGGTGGGCGGACCATGTTAAGTTTGGTGGAGTCTGTTAGAAGTCCATGGCGCGTCTTAGTGACGCGTTTCGAAGGTGGTCTGAGTCTGAACTTGCCTTTAACGTCCTTGTCGCCCAAGAGCGTAGCCGTGTGAACGGCACAGGTAAGCTTCTCAAACAGCTCTGTGTCTTGCACACCAAATGTCCAGTGGTCTAATACCAGACGTGCTTTTAAATCTGCAACGGATATCGAAACAAAGGCGAGGTACAAAGAAGAGCTCCTAGGCGCAACTCCCTCTACTGTTCATCCAATTCCCTAAATGATGGGA